CTTTATCTTCTAGTGTTAATATATCACTGTGCTTTTAATTGCATATAACTTTGTAGCACTCACAATCACTGCGTCAGCCAACACAGAAATTATCTTTTTCAATTAATGATACATACCCTGAAAACCCTTACACTGAATTGTTCACCTAATACACAATAAAAATATATACCAGTATCCTTTTGCGGGTTTCCTATTGCTATTTCTGTTCTGGAAAGTGTCCCGAGTTAACCAATAAACTGGAATCCCACTAGTTCTAAAATAGTCCCCTGGTAAGTTGTGTTAAATTAATATTGTCGGTAAAGGCTTTCAAGATGACTATACAATTAAAGCCAGATGAACACATTCCTCATACAATTTCAGGATTAATATTTGTCCCCTAACAATTTAGTAACCAAGATCATAATTACTGTCATTTCTCCATATTGTCCAGGTAACTGGCCCTCAATATATGACCGATTTGAAACCTGGGAATCTTGGGAGAAAGCATCAGGTCTGCTGTTGGAAAATTGAATTCAAGTGCAGCCTTACTCCCTGAACACTCATATTCTTCCTTTCTCTTCGTGCTATTTGTTCGTCCCTATTGTGCAGAGCTATCGTTTGTGCACACATTCTGTGTTAGATTTTCTACCCGATTGAGTTTGAAAAACCAAAGCTTAAGTACTAAATGTTTCCCTAAGGCCTGAATGGATTTAAAAGGACATAGGTGCAAAAAGAAAAGAAAGGAAAATAGGGGGAGAAAACAGGGCTTGTTAAGTTGTTGCAATAATCTCATGCTGAGAATAAAGACCTTCAGAGTTAAGAGAATGAAAAACACTCTTCTAAATAGATTGCTTGCTTTTGTTGCACAGGTGGCAAGGCCTGGAAATATAAGATACGGGGAACAGCAGGGCAGCCTGCTAGCATTTCATTAAGCTTAGAGAATAACAGAATTGTGGAGTGGTTTCTTCCTACTTTATAAGAGACATGGGCTTTTTGACAACATGAACTTCAGAGTGCTGGTTTGCTGGTATGTTTTCTACCAGGAAATACTCTGGGCAAAGAGTATTTTGTAGGGATTGCCCCCTCTCTCCCTTCTGTTAAAACAAAGTTCTTTCATATAGAGCATAAATTTGTTATCATCATTATTTTGAACTTTCCATCTTTTAATTACTCACATACCAGCAATATGAAGTCAGTACACCTTTAAGTAACACCACTTTTGAGAAAATGCTACCTATAAACAAAGCTGGTTAAAATTATGCAAGGTTAATGCTCCATGGCTTTAGTCAGTCCCATGAATTCAGGTACTAAATCACCCTTTTGAGCAAATGAACAATAAAGCAAAATAAAAGATTAACTACTATTGGTGAACATGAAGAATGAAGAGAAATTTAAATAAATACATAAATGTTGGCTGCTTTCATCTACTTCCAACAAGAAGTAAAAAATGAATTGGCTACCACTACTAAATTGTATTTCCCTACTCTAACTTAAAGAGACCTAGTAAAATCCTTAATCTCATGCACCACTGATTTTAATTTGGTTATTTCCAATTATATTGAATATTCTTGTTACTATCTCATTTTATACCAAAATAATCATTTCTTACTTTAGGAATTCACTCTAAATATGGGGATGTAACTTGGGAAAGTATAGAAGCAATTAATAGTTAATATTTATTAAAGGCTTGGCTGTATTCCAAATCCTTTGTGAAATGATTTTTAATGTAATATTTTGTTTAATCTCACAACAACTTTATGAAAGGATATTCTGGTTTTTTATTTTAGAAGTAGAAAACTAATACCATGAAAGGGTGAGTTACTCAAAATCACCCCTGATTTAGGGATTACTCCACAATGCAACACTTTTTTCAAATTCTAAATGAACTTCTACATTGCAGAACCTCATTACAACTTCTCCTTTATTTTAAAGTCACAAAGTGTTTGTGAAGCAAAAGTTTTTGCACATGAAAAAGAGAAGAAGGAAAAAAGAGAAAAATTCACACTTCCTGAATACTACAAGGGGATGGAACTCTGTGGCATGGGCTTCCTTTTCTGTAACTCACCACAACACTATAGAGAATGTCATCTCCATTTCAAAAATAAAAAAGCTAAACTTAGAAGCTGTAGGGTAGACTGCCTTAGTCCTCACATTTCATATGGAACCCAAAGAGAAAACTAAGTCTCTACTCCATCTTTCCTATTTACCTCTTTCCCTAAATAATCCAGTTCTGCATGAGCTGTTTTGCTTCCTCCCCTCAAGTTCTCTCCCCGCAGAAGAATCACTTCACTGTCATGTACTGAGAGATATTTCTAATAATTCATGGAGCCAAACAGCTTCCTTACTTGGTTATGATTCATCCAAGCATTCGTTTAGGAGTAATTACCAAGGACTTACCATCTGTCAGGTACAAACGCATGAAAACCACCTATATTACCACTTTAACCCTCAGGATGACCTTAATTTTATTAGTCCAGAACAGAAGCTTAGAAAGCTGATTATTTGTCCCAATGTCATGTAACTAGTAACATTTCCTATCTGCCATACTCCAGTGCTTCTTTTAGGAAAATAGCCAGAATATATATAACAACAACAACAAAAACACAATGTCTCCTTGTGGTAAGCTGTTATAGCATCACTTCAAGGATGAGATAAAGTGTTGCTCAGAGAAAATAAATAGGTCTTTTTAAACAAGTAGTTTAAGAACTAGTCAGAATGAGGGAATTGTTGTTTTTGAATTTCTGGTTAGTTGTTAAATTCATGTTCCTCCATATTTACTGTCTTACATAGTTCTTTAGACTATCAGAAGAAAATACAGAAGCAAAACACAAAAAAATTCTATTTTATACATTTCCAAAGAATTATTAAATATATGATTAAGAGTACAATGAAAGTTTAGGTCAAATAAAACAGGATGGTGACTTTACATATACACTAATATAACCTTGTCCCATGTAACTCCATCTGAAAGAAATGCAAGGTTCTAATTCAAGTCAAATTATCTGAAGCTAGCTTTATGTGGAGTCTCTGCTTTCTATTCTTTCATTTATTTGTTCAAAATTAATAATTAAGCACTTATGTGCAAAACACAAATAGTCCTAAATATTTTCTTGCCCTAACCCAACTAAATCATGGTGATGGTTGCACAATCTATAAAAATACTATTAAAATTATTAAACTTCATACTTTAAATGGGTGAATTTTATGATATGTAAATTATAATTTCTGTTAAAGATATAGAATAGAAGACCTTGGAAGACATTATAACACAGTAGAAAGGACACAAGTTCTGGAATCGAATAGATTTTGTTTAAATCTTTCAACTTGGTGGTCATGGAAAATGTAATTCCCTCAGTGAGTCTTATGCTCCTCACAACAGTATCATCACAGAATAATTATGGAGATAATTGATAGATAATATGGAGGCACATTGATGAGTGCCTAATAAAATATAAGAGTAAAGTTCATTACTTGCTGAAAGTTTTTTAAGAGTTGGTAATGCACTTTCTGGAGTGAAACTGTAAAATGATGAAGACTTTAAAGTCTGACATCCTCTCCATGGCTTCCAAAGTGCCCCAAGCCAATGCTGCCTGCTGCCTTATTTTTCATGGATGCAATATTTCTTGCTTCCTTCAACTATTCATGAATCCCAAGACAAGAGTTTATACAATCAATCTCTCTCTCTCTCTCTCTCTCTCTCTCTCTCTCTCTCTCTCTCTCTTTCTCCTTCTCTCTGAAGGGCTCACAACGTCCCTCCTGAGTGCTCTAATCTTTGCTACATAACTTCCTGAAGCTGGGTTATAGAAATGGATCTATGTACCCCATCTTTTAAGAATCAGACCTGATACCCAACCACTTCTAGTCATTCCCTACAGCCAAACAGATTATGACTCTGATTTAACTTGATATCTACATTTAGTAAGGGTAGCTCCCACTGGTTGTTGTATAAGACCTACAGGTTCTACCAACAACTGTTCACATTGTTTCACTGGGCACTTACCAGCTGATTCTCTTTTTCCTGTGACTCTATGACTTACAATTGATCACCTGGAAGTCAAGTTTTCCAAAAAGTTCCAAAAGAGATATGCAAAGAAAAACTAATAGTCTAATGATACCTTCATATGAATATTTAAAGTCAATATTCAGATTCCAAGTAGTATATGATCCAAGAATTATGACACAGTTGGAGAAAGCCCTTCAAATTAATAACATTGTTTCCTGAAATTTTGGCTGATCACAGTTTACTTACCTTATTCAGTCTTGAAATGAGATAGTAATTTCATCATCAAGTAAGTGATCCTGATAGTTAAAATGAAAGGACTTATTTGTGGAAGATGGCTATTCTAGGATTAAACTATGCACATACTATGGGAAAAAATGTCATTATATTTTCTAGTCTTTTTGAAAGCTGTTATAACCTTTAGGGGAAAAAGTTTTTCAATCTCTGCCATTTGTAAGCCCTGAACATCTTCTATAGAACAAGGGCAAATATCCAGCATTGGGAAGGCTGAGACAAATTGTCCAGCTAACTTCTCATTTGTATGTGCTTGAATAATAAAAAGCAGTTAGAAAAATAACACATTTGTGGTGGTTAGAGTGGAATATCAACTTGATTGACTTTGAGATTCACCCAGGAGCAGACTTCTAGGTGTGTCTGAGTGGTTCATGCAGGCGTGGCCTCGGGGTCTATGACTCATCTTTCCCTTGCCCCTTCCTCCCTGGCACTGTTCCCCTGTTGTGCCTTTTTTTTTTAATGCTATACACAAAACCATCCATTTTATTCCAGAATACATCACCTTAATGAGAATAAAAAGTTTTGTATGCACATACTGCCAATACATTTTAAAAGGTCCAAAATTTAACAAGTAGAATAGATAAATTCATCAGACAAAAGATCATAAATTACTTTGGCCGAAAAAAATCTTTAAAAAAAAATCTGGCTCAACATTCTGCTTGCAGGTTTCTAAATATACTGTATATGTGGAGAGTGTATATATGTGTGTATAGAGAGAGAGAGAGCGTTTTTCTTTTTTTAAAGGGAATGGAGTATGGTCTAGCCCACTTTCCCATAGTTATGTAGCAACTACAATGTTCTTTGCTAGCAAAACAAGAAGTGCAAGGTCTGCATTTCCTCCAACACGATGCAATGCCCCAAGAGCTTCCTGCAAAGTAAAGCCAGCCCAGAGAATCCGGTCAATATCTGTGGCAGGAAAAATTAAGGGTGAAAGAAGGGAAGGACTTGATAGATGACTGGTAAGTGGATCCAATTCAAGAAATGGCCTTGCAGTGTCAGGACAGGCATTTTCTCTGGTTTCGGGCCTGTCTGTTGCCAGATTCTGTATGCCATGACCCAGGTCTTTAACCAGTATAAAACTAGATGGCAAAGACTCAGTTTGCTCAGAAGTCTGACTGAGGGCATCCTCACTGGCTGTGAGACTGGGCGAAATTTCTACACCTAAGGTGCAATGTAACTGATTAGATGATTCAGCTGAGGTTATAGTGACAGAACTGCTCTCACTCACTGACTCTGTAGATCTGGGGACACCGTCCTTGTCAGCTGACAGACCATCACTTGGACCCTGGGAGCTAGAATCTTCTGTGTCTTCTGTTCCAGTGCCAGGCACAGCGCCTAAGCTTTCTGACTTCACTGATACAGAACTGGCCTGATGACAGAAGACTTGTGGACACGGTTCTCTGTGGGGCAGATGATCATTCTGAGTCCATCTTTCTGAAAAGTCTTTAACACCCTTTTGGCCCTCAGGTATCGTTTCTGACTGACAGATAACTTTAGATGTATTTTCTGGAGCTGGCTTACTACTACTGACCAAAAGTTCATGAAGTTCTTTCAAGGCTGCTGTTACAGACGAACAAGATTCTTCTGTTGACTCCACAGAGGGCTGACAACTGCCACAGAGACTGAGAGTGGGTAGGCTGTTGCCATATTCATTATTTGTTCCAGACATTTCAATGTTACTTTCTGGGGCTGTAAATTCTGAGTGGAAATGGAATTATTCACACTTGCAGATGAAGGATTACATTTTGATGTTTCTACTTCCATCAAGGGATTATCTGAAGTGAGACTAGATACACCAATGTTCTCAACATTGGCATTCTGACTGCATGTTGACTTAAGCACAGAAACTATGGACTGTTCAACCACCTCTATTTCCATAAGCATTTCTGAATTCGAGGAGCCAAAGCATCCTGAAGGTAGAAAGCTTTTCTCTGGGCTGGGTAGATCTGAGTTCTGCTGTAGTCCCTCTTCCTTCATCGAAGCTTTCAAATCAACAATTTTCTGTTGATCCTGTTGCTTTTCTTCAGGAAGTTGAATGTCCCCCAGGTCACAAAGATGTCCTTGGTCATGAGGAGCATTCTGCTGTACCTCATGCTGTTTGTTCCCTGGCTCTGTGTGTTGGTGAAGGCCATTGAGTTGATGCAGGTTCTGATTTTCTGGGTGCCAACACTTTTTGTCTACAAGCATCAGTGGTTCATGCATCCAGCAGTTGTGACAGATAAACTAGCTCCCTGTCTTGTATGGAGAGGCCCTGGCTGCTTCTTTCAGCAAATTTCTCCAGATTATCTCTAATGACTGCTTCTTCAGATGAATTATGCAAAGGCATAGCTGGACTCTGGTCTGCTGAGGAAACATGATCAGAAGGATCCTGTAGAGGAAGAAGTTCTTTCTTTTTTGAGTTCATCTGGAATTCAACTGAAGCCTTCAAAGCCTTTACAGCTTTAGGTTGAATGCTATCTGGGTCACTGAGCTTGATAGGGCAGACTGAAGCAAAGGCAGAGTGAGCAAGACTCATAGGATTACCAATCTCAGGACTTGGTCCTGAAGAATGGGCTGGATGGGTAAATCCATCTGAAGTTGGTAATGATGACATTCCTAGTGAGGTAGATGCTTTACTGCTTTTCTCTGGTCTGGGGCCCACTCCAGCTGCAGTACACACATACTACATGCATCATGGCTTCTGACACTCTGCATCCTCTGCTGATTTCTGAATGGCTTCTGCTAACTCTTGGTCTGCAATTTCCTCTGGCCGGACATCCTCTTGCCCGGTACCATATGCCAAGCGGGTACACTCTGGTAGCTCTCCCTCGGGAAGGAAGGTCGTCTGTGAGCCTGTGGTGCCGATCACCAATACATTTTTCTTGAGATCAGTGGAACACTGGTGCCATTTAAGCATGTCCAGTCCCAGAAGCATGTCCATGGGCTGCTCCTCAAGAATAGAGAAGGAACATACCAGGAAGTCTCCTTCAATCTGAACCTGAGCTAGGTGTACCCTTCCAATAATCTTCTGGGTGCCCACTCCTTTGGCAATTCCTGCCCACCAACGGTCCACCAGTCTCATTATATTACACATTTCTGCACAGGATTGGCTCATGATAGTCATCTGGGCACCTGAGTCAACAAAGGCTTTCACAGGATGTCCATTCACTTTGCAGTTAATATAAAGCATCACCACTTGGCCAAAGCTTTCAGGAGCCTCTTCCATAGCTATTGTCATGTTTTCCTCAATGTTTTGTTGCCTGATATCCTCTTCTATCTTTGCCTGAGCTTCAAGATCAAAGGGGTCAGCAGAAAAGAGAAGATCCTTTCTTGCTCTCTCCAGGCTCGGTCCTGCTGCTGCTCTACCAGGACTCTGGAAAATCTCTCAAGATCTCCACTGAGCAGGGCTTCTGCCAGGGGCGGGTTGCGCTCCTTCAGCAAGGACAGCGCGTGCGGGTTGGCCAGCAGCATGTCTCAGAGCAGGGCCGGGCTGTCCAAGCCCTGAGGAGAGGATGCTATTTCTCCAGGAGAAGAGTGGGGCTGCTGTGCGCCTGCTGCCTGGCGCTGGCAGGGACTGGACGTGCCAGGCACAGCTATGCTGCTGAAGTCTATCCGTGGTAAGTTTGGGAACTGCACTGCAGGTCGAGGGTCTGCATTCTCCTTCTGTCTTAAAATCATCACGTCCCCATCTTTCAAGCCATAAGAAGCCAGTGATCTGTGGTTGTCTGTGAGAGGTCTTTCAGCATAGACAAGCTGGCTCTCGGCTGCGGGGATGCCCGACTGGAGCTCACATAGCGCACGGAAGTTGTGCAGCTCGAAGTCGGCGTCGACCTGGAGGGAAAAGTTTACCTCGGAGAGGTCCCTCCGCACACAGTACCCGGTGAGCAGCATGGCCCGGACCCGGCTCGGCTCGGCCCGGCGCGGGGCGGCGGGGAGGCGCGGGGCCTGGTGGGTGCTGCGGACGGACGGCGCGAGTGCCCGCTCTCTCCTTCTTTCCCTCACACACGCTCAGTTGACTCACTCCCTCACTAGCGAGCCCGGCCGCCGCTGCCCGCCCGCGAGTCCGTCTGCCGGCCTGCCTGCCTCCCACAACTGCCGCCAAGCCCCGCTCCTGTTGTGCTTTTTGAGCTACCCTGAACTAAGCAGCTTTGCTCCAGCAAGGCCTTCTGCCATGATGTTTCTGCCATGGAGCCAGCTGTCTGTGGACTGTATCCTCGTAAAATGTGAACCAAATTAAACCTTTCCTCCTTTAAGTGTGTGTCCCGGTCACAGAAAAGCTGATTAATATAACTCTGTTATCCACTCCTGCTTCGTCATATAAGTATGATGACACTTACTCACTGGACTTTGTGGCATCACTAAGGCATTTCCACTATTTCTGATTGTCTTTTCCATTTCTTTAAGTCTTGTTATCATTATGCTTCTGTTTTTGTTCCCCAAATTTGGTCTTTTGCATACTTCTTTTCTCAAAAAAAATGTTTTCTTTCTTGTTGATATCATTTATTCCTCTAGTTTCAACTAGCGCAGAGTTTGATAATAACAGATTTAGATATTTCATACCCAACCTTCTTTTATGAGTTCCTTATTCATTTAATCACTTGCTTGGAAAGCATTTTTATCCTAGTAATACCAGTTGTATCTCAAATAAAATATGTCCTAAGTTAAAGTGATCATCTCTCTTTTCTTGTCTATTTCTCTTTCTGTGTTCTGCATTTAATCTAACTTTTCAAACTGATAATTTAGGGCTACTCTGTTTGTCTCTTATCCCTTAATTACATTCATTTAGTTACATTCATTCAGTAACCAGGTCCTTCCAAATCTATATCCATATTCTAATTTCACTGGAATATATCTTTTTGTTCCTGGTACTCTACTTCCATTTCTACCCAAGTTTGTCACCTTCCTTATAAAGTATTTCAGGAGCTCCCACCTAGTAATGCTACTTGCAACATTACTTACCTCTAGTCAGTCCTCTATGCTATTACTCTATTGAGCTTTCTAAATGCAGAAAAAAAATCTGGTGAACTCTCTGGAAGTAATAATTCATAATACAGAATACAATATAAAAAGGTCTTTAAATTGGACCTCTAATCCCACTTGTGAGACTGAAGCAGGAGGATCGCTACAAGTTCAAGGCCATCCTGGATCACATAGTGACTTTGAGAGCATCCTGAACTACATAATGAGACAAAATTAAAAAAAAGCTTTTCAAATCTGCCCAAACATGCCTCTCCCAAAACCATCTCCTACCCTACTAATAATCACCTGTGTGCTTTTCAAATTGTCACAATGAATTTCTCTACATTCTCCAATCAACTGGTGCACTTAGTAGGTCATCGGTAATAGTTCTTTATCTGAAGATATGGCAGATTAAGGATAGCTACAAAATTTCTGGTGGTCTATTTCCTCTCCCTTTGGATTTTGACAGCCAGTCAAAAGTGATGTGGTCTTTGCTGGTCCAGGTCTCAAGGCACTTACAGCTTTCATTTCCTATCTCTTGGAATACACCCTCTCTTCCCAAGCCTCATTCCCTAATCCAAGGCCTTTACACTGAGCTACAATATCAGCCTTTTTTTATTTTTTATTATTTTATTTTTAAAACAGGGTCACTAAGTTGCCCAAGCTGGGCTCAATTTTGCCATCCTCCTGCCTCAACCTCCAAAAGTGTTAGGATTATAGGTAATTGTCACCGTGGAATACATGCTCTTGAATGCCAGCTGCCATACTGTGAAAAACCCAAGAAGCTTGCTTCATAAAAAGGTCTCAAATGACAGCTGTAGTTGATCTCCCAACCAGCAATGAGTTGTTCAACAATTTGAAAAGCCATTCTAGCTGAAGCCACACTGAGTAGAAATAATGTCAAACTCTGTTCAAATTAAAAATTCATCAGAAAAATAAATGATTGTTGAGGTAAGCTACTAAATTTTAGGGTGTTTTCCTATGGAGCAATAGATGCCTGGTGCATCACTAAATAGCATCCCATCTTCTCTGCCTGATTGTTTTTTCTTATTTTATGGATTAATTTCTTATCATTAAAGGTAAATACCATTTCACTTAAAAGCTTAAAGTCCTCCCCAGTTTGTTGAGGCAAAATTAATTATAGTCTTTTGTGTTTTTCCAGAACTTACTTAGTACATTCTCTTTTGTGGCATTCAATGTCCACCTTCCCCAAAAATCATTGTGAATTCCTTTTTACTGGGATGTGTAATCTTTGTACCCTAGTAACTAATGCAATTGAGTTACTTGAATACCTAAGGTAACAAGTCCACTTCTATGATAAATTCTACCTTTAATTTTATTTTAGTTCCACAAACATTTATTGGTGTGCTGGGCAGTTTGTTATGAAATAGGGATGTAATACAGATAATTCGTGCTTCCTGCCTTCAATAAGCATGTCACTGAGCTATCTCAAACCATCTTCTCTATGGCAAACAGCAAAGGTTTCTGGAAAGCCAACCAAGTGTTTGGACAAGGTTCAAGCAGATTCAAAAATCTTAGTGGAGAAAAATATTTGTCCTTTCTGCTGGTCTCCATGAATTCTGAGAAGAACAAATGGTGACTCTTCTGGTATTTTGGGGAGGAAAAATGGGAGGTAGAGTGAAAACTCCAAAACTTCCATCAAACTTTTAAAATTTTCAGAAGAAAAAGAAAAGTCTACTTCCTAAATTTATAGTATCTAAAGTTCTCAATCAATACATAGTGTTTAAGACCTAGGCTCTTTTCTTATGAATAAACCATGACTGGCCTGTGACCCAGAATTTTACAAAGCTTCATTCCATGCAGTTATTTGAAAAAGATCCCCAAGTTGAAAAAAAAAAAGACCATTTGAATAAAGTTATACTCTTATAAAATCATTCTGCCTCACTTTGTCCTTTTTTTTTTTCTTTTTTCCAGTACTGGAGACAGAACTCAGAACCTTGCCCTTGAAAGTCAGACATGGTGACGCTGAGCTAAATCCCCAGCCCCAGTGCAAGGAGGGCTGCCCTGCATCACTTTGTATATGTAGACTGTTAGCTCTTTGACAATAGTGACTGTCTCATTTCTCTATAAACCTCTATACTTAGCACAATGCTTGACCATACAGTAGGTGCTCCATAAAAGAAGAAAACTGATTCACTCTCTAATTTGTACTAGTAAATACTTAAGGGGCAATAACTTTAACTTTGGTTCAATGCCTGTAAAAATGTCCCTTCTTAGAAAATTGTTTTGCTCTTATCTGACAAGAAAGATTTCAATTTTTTTTGTCTCAGCTATCAGGAAGCTCTAGACTAAATTTTGAATGCTAGCATAGTATTTTCATGGACACCAAATTATGAGAAAATTACATGCACTCTTATTCATGAATAAGCAAATAGTGTTAGCCTGATTTTCATTACCAAGCATACTTGAATGCAGTAAAATTAATTTCACTTAAAATAACCTATACTTCTCAGTGATTTTTCCCCCGTTTTCATAATTCAAGCCAATGTGATTAAATTACATATATATTTCTTAGGCAAGAAAAGCCAACATATTAAATATTTCTAGAAAGTGTTATTTCAAGACATATAAATCTATCTTTCGAGGCCCAGATGGACTACAGGAACAAACTCTATGTCTGAACAGCCTACCTGTATTCCACATTACAGGGATATGAGA